AAGGCAGATTTGAGGTCCATATCCTGCTGTGCTTCTTCACTAATGAGCAGGTCCACATTCTCCATATGCGTGTTGAGTGTGGAGTGAGTCTGGCCTTTTTGGCCCCAAACAAGCCCGATAACGAGTTAATGATGGCTTAGCCTGAGCTTTCTTGAACCTGGCTCACAAAATTGAGACAGCAGAACAGCAGTCCCATTCGAGCTTTGCCAGTTTAGCGTGTGGCTGCTTGGAAGTCGTCTCTCCATTGGTCATCGGCATTTGGCGGCAGGAATCGGAGCCATTGGGACTTGTCCAATTGCTCGTATTCGTCAAAGGCATTGAGCCGGGCATATGTCCGGCAGTTTGACGATTCGGAGCTGTCGACAGTTCTGCCAAGCTTCTGCTCCAATAACCCTCATGCCAGATGCCACACAGACATGATGGAGGCGTGGGACAGCCGCAAAGGCCCCTTCAGGAATTTTCTCCTCCGGATTGATGGGAACATGGATAGCGAGCGGAATGTCTCGAAGTGGACACTCTTCAAAGCTCTCCTACACGGCGTCCGTACTCGTGAAAAAAAAATTCAAAGCTCTCCTGTGTAGGAAGAGCTTCAAGGCAGTTGCGAAACACAATGGAGTATTCCGTGCTTTGTTGCAGCTTTTCCCAGACTGGGTTATCTAAATAAGTTTGCGTGTCTGCTTGCAAGAAGTCAATCGTGCGCCCGAAGACCTTTGGTCAGTGACAGAGGCAAGATGGTCCACCACATGATCTTCGAGGTCCTGAAAGCGATCAAATTTGGCAATACTCATGGAGATGTTCTCAACTGTGCCGGAAAGGGTAGTCAGCACTGGGTGGAACTCCATTGAAGTCGGGATGTCCACCTCGCTCGATGCTTGCAGTTTGCGGGCAGCCCCCCGCCTCCCCGACGTGCCGCGCCGCCGCCGAGCTCATCGCGACTCCTGACGCCGTCCTCCTTCGCAAAGCCGGGCGCACGGGTCGGACGTGGGACCGGACACGCGCGCGCTGGGCGACTGCGCTTGTACCTCTGCAGCCGTTTTCCGCCCTTGCCTGTCTCGCCGCCGGCCCCCGCTCCGCCGCCGCCGCCGCCATGGCCACCTGCCCATGCTGCAAGACGCGGCCCGCCCTTGGCGAGGGCGGCCCTTGCGTCCTGTGCGATGAGGTGCGGCAGCTGCAAAGCCTGGTGGTCTCCGCGGCGCTGCCCGCCTGGACTGCCTGCCTGGACTGCCCGCCCGGTTTCCGGCCTGCTGGAGGGCGTCGCCGACGCCATCGAAGCCTTGGCGTGCGGCCCGCCGCAGAGCCCCCGCAGCCGCAGCCGCACCCGGTCGGATTTGAAAGTCTAGCATGCCTTCCGGCAATGTTTCGCCACATGAAGAAGAATGGGGCGCACGTTGATGATATGGTGATGGCTGGAACAGAGGAAGCGCTCAAATGGGCCAATGAGGAGTTGAAGAAAGTCTTCACTATGAGCGGAGGTGAACTTCTTCCGCAAGAGCAAAGCCCAAAAGACCCAGTGAGGTTCGCGCAGCCAAAAGACAGTTTCACTGAGCTCAGAGCTCAATGCTTTGGTTGCTGGTGCATGTGATGGCATTTGCATCAGGTATGCCCTCGAGTTCACAGGCCAAGAGATTCAACATGTTTGCTGGATCGACAACTCAGCCACGAGGCAGGTAGCTTGCAAACGAGGCAGCGGGCGACTACGGAACTGGGACGCAACAGGCTCCAGCTACTGTTGTTTTGGTGCAATGCCTGAGATGGCAATGATTATGGTGGTCGGGTTGGAGAGAAGGAGCGTGACACCTATGCCACCCAGCACATCGAGAAGGGCACGGCGATGAAGATTGCAGAGGACCTGAATCGGTTCATTCTGGTCGGCGGTCTTGAGCTGGCTGCAGGGTCAAGACCCACGATGGAGCTGGACAAGTCAGGCTGCTCGGAATATGCAGGAGAGTGGTTGATCTTTTTGTTCATGGGTCTCCTGCTGGGTCTGGTGATTTGGTAAAACCCTCACAACTAGAGTAGAAGCGCTGAACAGCCGCTTGAGAGAAGAGAAAACCCGTGAAGATGACTGCGGCTTTGTTGATTTGAGTTCAATTCAACCAGATGACCGCAGGTTCATGGAGTTCCTTGTGCTTTGCATCTCACCTACCGTCCCATCACACCGGGCCATGAGTCCATGTACTGGAACAGTTCTTCCATGCCTTCCTGGTGTAGTGGAGGGCCATCATGTCTTGCCTTGCTCGAAATGCTGCCCTCATTCGCAGCGTGTTCCAGTGATTAAACTTCACTACAGGAACCTCTACTGGTGGAGGATGCCAGAACTCAGTCTCTGACCCTTCCATTTCTACATCATCAGCCGCAGCATCTTCTGAGCTCGCTGCTGCAGCTGGTAGTTGCTCTAGGTCAGAACCTGGTTGCTCTTCTTGGTCTGAATCTGGCAACCTCTCCACATACTCCTCAGGAACCTTGATCGTCTCTCCACTGTCCAACTGGATTGTGACAGTGTTTCCTGAGAGTACTTGTTCTCCTTTTCCAGCTTCTCCACTGCTTCTTGCGCCTCTCCGGCACTCACTGGTGGTGTTCGTGGTGGTGGTCTAAGTCTACCTGCCGCCGCATCTGCTGCCTCCTCTGCTGACCGGTAGGGCCGATTCACGAAAGGCCTCCCTTCTCGCTCAGCATGTCGTGCTCGAACAATCTTCCATTGCTCAGACAGCAGTACTCCGGCCTTGACTTTGTTCCTTTGCTCAGCTCGCTGCATCTCAAGTCAAGGGAGAGTGCGAAACCTGACACAAAGCACTCAATCCCATCGAGTCAACTAATAGAGTGGTGATGTCAAACGACACACGCACAAACGAGAAGTGTACCGCAGACCGCCTTGAGAGCTCAAAGATCCGCAGATTTAGACCACGGAAAAACACGTGCGCAAATTCAAACAATTGTTTTTACGCGTTTGTGCCCCACCCACTTTGCATGGTTTTTCACACATTTGTGTTGGCCATGCAGTTGGCTAGAAACACAATCCTAATGTATTTTCTTTGGTGCCGCGGACGTCCTGGTGCTCCCGGGCCCTCCGCGCAGAGCCGCCTACATTTGTGGCCTTGAGGTGGCTTTATGCGTAGCGCGTGGGAAAATGTCATGCGGGAGAGGGGACAAGTTTGAGTGCCCGCAAGTGGGCAGCACGATATCCTTACCTAGTGTCCGTCATGGCGTTGCGAAGTTTCGCGCAGGGTGATCAAAGGAGCCCGAAATCAGAAACAGAAGGCCTTCCACAACGATAGGGTGACCTTTTGATTGTTTCCATGTCTGTAGAAAGTTCTTTTTTGGTGGACCTTCGAAACAGGTTGCCCTGAAGGCCTGAGCTCTCGTCTCCCCGCTCACCATTGCCGGCCAGGCCCAGCGGTGAGGAGGCCAATACGCAGGGGCCGCAGTGGCCGACCCACGGCGCCGCAAAGAACGCACCTACCCAGAACTTCTTGACCCCGCACGGTGCCGCCTTGTCGTTCTGGCCATGGAACTCGGGAGGCGTTTTGGTGTACCGAAACTGCAACCTTCTGCCGTCCCCCCGTGCAAGCCAAAGCTCGGGCTGGGCTGTTCCTGGTCACCTCCGCTCCTCGGTCCGTCCCGCCCTCGTGTCTCGACGGCCTGCACCCATGCAGCCCTCTTACCCTTCGAGCCTCCTGTTTCAGGACCCTGCTGGCCAATCCAATCTCGACGGCAACCGCCCTCTCTACGACCTACTTGATCCTCCCCCCAAAAAAGAGGCCTGTGGCTTGGATCCCGGAAACTGGCCGGCTCACCAACAGTTTTTCTCTCTGACTCCTCTCAGCGTTAGAAAAACTAGTAACTAGAGAAAAACATCGAAGCGGTGGGCCCAGTGGATCATGGGCTGTCAGGCGCCTTGTGCCGGATGAAGCGGGCTCAAGTGGTTGCGCAACGCAAGACGCGCTTGTCAGGTATTTGTGGCTATACGAAATGCGGATGCTTCGTCCCTATGTTGTAAGCAAGGTTGTGTGCAACCCAAGTGCCGCTGCAGGGTAGGGAGGGGCAGGTACCAGCTCGTGCGTCGACCCACGCGGTGGTGAAGGATATTTTTTGCATTTGTTGCTGTGGCATGCTGTGGCCACTTCTTGTCACAGCTGCATGCCGCGACAAAGCCCACCAAAAGGCTTGTACGAACAAACCGGCGCCGGGAGGCCGCAAAGTGGCGCCGAAACTGCGACCCAAAAATTGCCGTCAAAACGTTAACGTTGCTGGAATCCTCGGCCATTGCTAGCGGTAGGGTGCCCAACTGTACTCTTGTGGGCGAATGTGGGTGCGGCCAAGTTCTGTCCTTAATACGGGTGGGGTAGCAATAGGCCCATGGGTGTTTTTTTGTGGGGGTACGCGTCAAAACCTTGAGTTGAGATGGGCGCTGCTGGCATTCATGTGCTGCAGGCATGTCCGCTCGTGGAAACATGCGCAAACGCAACGCAATGAATGTAGGGCGGTGCGCTTTGTTTTTGTTCGCGTGTGCGTGTGCGGCACCTTTGGACTGTCCCAGCCCATCCCTGTCCCGGCGTGTGGGAAGCCACGTGTTGAATGCCGTCATGGCATCCCGGGCAACAAGGGTACGCGTCGAAAGACGGACCACAGGGCACCAATACATCAGACAGCCGAGCACCAGCATGCACACTTGTGCAAAAATTGTTTTCAACACGTTCAACACATTGGTAGTTTTGTTTGGGAATAAGGAATGTGGACAACAGCAACTGACGTTCAAAAACGATCCTAAACGTATTGTTTAGGGTTTCTTGACAAATGTCCAGGCTGTCATGGGCCAATTGTGGGCTCTCACCCCTCACACCACCGCTGTTTGCCCATGAGCGTAGCGACCACAGTGAAGGGGCCACACTTTCCCCATCCTCTACCGGCAGGTGTGTAGCAGCAGCGGTGCCGAGCTGGATATCGTTTCATGCGTTTTGTCATGGTGTGAGTGATTTTGGCCTAATGCATCATTATGATTCTTTTGGCTCAGCTGTAGCGCCGTCCGCCCGTACAGGGTCAGCCGCTTACTGGAGGTTTTGTGCCCGATGGAGGCCATCCAAGCCCAGATGTGCCATTCTTTGGAGGATGAATTTGACGAAGTGATGGAGCTTAGGACAAATAAGAAACATGTGTTTTTGATTCTTTGTGGGCAGTGGACGTTGTAACATCATTCGTAAAACCTTGGACATGATGACGGCTGTTGTTGAGGAACCTCCTTTGGATGAATTCGACATGTGGGATCACCAGCAAGCTCTTTCGGCAGAGCGAACGCCTCAGAAAAGAGCCTTCGGCAAGGACAAAAACATGCAAGGCGTGTTGTTCGTGCAAGGGGCTGCCAAGGACCACCCCACGTTTTTGTGTGTTGGTTGGGCATGTTGGGTTGTAATAGCCGATTGCTGCTTTAGGAGCGATGATTTCTCATTTGCAAAAGTCCTTCCTCGAACAGTTGCATTCGGAATGTGACCTGAACGAAGCCGCCGCCAATGCCATTCGCAGCCTCAAAGGCTTCACGCCTGGAAGTTCCCCAGGCTCCCCTCCTACGATCTCCAGCGGCGAGTTTGCCATTTTTGATGAGGAAGACAGGACCGGAGCGTTGGAAAAAGGATCAGACGGCGAGGAAGTGTTGCATTTTTGCAGCTAAATGCCCTCCGAGGATGGGCCAGGACTGCGAGGTGGATGCCTTTGACCTGTTTGCAGCTCGAAGTGCTTCCATTGAAGCGATGGATGATGATCGAAAGCGTTTAGTTGGTAAGATGCAGGCGGCTTTCTTGGCATCTTGCCAGCAGAGGGCATGCAGGGAATGCAACATTTTTGGTGGATTGATGCCCACGGAGGTTTGTTTGCATTCCTTTGGTGAGGATGCCCTCAACGATCAAGATGCCAACGGGGCAGCTGCGGCTGCTCTGAAAAATGTCCTCGGTTCTTCGGCAAGTGCAAGGACGGCTGCTGCAGCATGCGGGTGCTGCTTCGTTGTGTTTGTGATGCTGTTGGCGTTTGGTTTTGGCAGGAGCCAACGTGCAAAAGAACTTTTCCAGGCAAGTCAGACTTGCAAAGTTTTCCGCTTTCAGCAATTTTTCTACAGATAGGTTTTGAATTGTCCCTTCCCGAACCGTCAACAATGCTTTTGTTCCACAATCTTAGTCACTAGTCCACAAAAAAAACTCCTCGGCAACTTGTTTGCAGAGCAGCCTTTCATTGCTGAATCACCAATTGCGTTTTTGCGTTTCCCCTTTCACAATTGCGCAGTGCTTGTGGTTCATTTCAGACGTTCTACCGCGAAAACTTGGAGCAACTGAATGATGCCAATGCAGCTGCTGCCAGTGCGTAGCTTGGTTTATGGTGCTGATGGGTTGGGGGCACGGGTCGTGGAAGGCATGGGAACCAAACGATTTTTTCATTGTTTTTTTCATGTCCTTGAGCATTAATACCCCTTTCATTTTTCATGTTCCTTTCTCTTCCTCAATTGTGGAGCTGTTGTCACTTTGTTGTCATTTGTGAAACTCGAACGTCTGGAAGCAAACCACGCCTGCTTCCAAAAAATGTTTCAAATTTCACGTGAAACGTTTTGGGTTAAACCCTACATGTACAGTTCGCCTACAGGGTATAAAAACCCATGACAAACTTATTTGGCTCAAGACATAAACAAGGTGTGTCTGCTGATTTATTGGGTTAAGAGCCTTGGAAGCTCGCGCCATAGTCCAAATCCTTGCGGAAGGGGCAACAGCGCTATCAGTGACGCTTGCCGGAGGTGCACTGTTTGCTAGCTGCAAAGCTACTCCAAAAGGTCAGCAAAATTAAGCGTCCAAGGGGGGGGGTGAAAGAGGTGGCCAGAAAGTCAAAGCTCAGAAAAGCCTTCGGGCGAGGACTGAACGGGGTGAGTATCAACCAAAGAAAGACTTTCCACAAGTACCTCAATACGGTTCTCAACTCCGAGAACTTCCTCATCCTGCAAGCGCTGAAGTAGAGCCGCGGGAACTCCCAAGTAGCTCGGCATCAGGATCTCAAGTGAAGCCCGCCTCAAACGAGCAAGCTTTCACTGAATCCAGGCCCGAACAAGTTGCAGAACCTTCGTCGTCGGCGAGGTTGATCACCAGTAGCCATCGCTCTCCTCATCCAGGTGAACTCTCACGTGACACTCGGGGTGAGCCTTTGAGGCCCAGAGTTGGGCCATCAAATCTGACCAGAGGGCCGCCACCTTCTCGCGTGTTGATCGTGACTGATTTGCACCAAACAGGCAATTGTCAAGCTCTTGAATCTCGGGCATCACCAAGTGGCAGTTCTTTCTTACATTGGTGCGGACTCATACCGCTTGAGATCCCAGGCAGTGGCATCAATAAGAGATTTGAACCAATTTGTCACAAAGCAAGGGTGTTCGAAACAAGTCGGGCTTCACTTTTGCGACAACCCTTCCCAAGAAGCTGGGATTGTGAGCCGGTTGAAAACTGCTGCTTTTGTGGAAGACAAGTTGAGGACCTGTCGTGAAACTATTGCTGCATCCCAGGGAACAGACGTCTATTTTGAAGCAGAACATCGCCCAAAAGATCGGAATTTGTATCACGTGAGATCCTTTGCGGAGTTTGCCGACTACATTGAGCAATCCCGCTTCCTTCCGGTTGCAGATTCTCCATCTTGGGCAGAGCAGTTCCCCATCCCTTGATCAAATCGCGTCTTGCAAAAGCTTGGCAGATTTTGATTTCAGTTGGGATAAGTTCTTTGGGTGGTTTTGCGGTTGATGGTTTCATCTTCTAGTCCTGAGTTTTCATTGAGTTCATCTGTTGATGGGGTGCCAGCCATTTTGAGTTCACGGGCTCCTAGTCGCAGTTCATCATCTTCAGGGACCCCCAAAAAGGGAAAGGTTCGTGAGCCTAGTCCTTATCCTTCCACAAAGGGCGCACCAGCGCAAAGCGCGGGCGTCCCCTCTGGGCGGATAGGGAGTGTTGTAGAGGGTCGGCTCAGTTGGAAAGAAATGATGGAACGCAAAGAAGTGCTTGAAATGGGAGATGTGAACCCATCAGCAGGGATGGAAGTTTGTGAGCGTTTGGAAAGCCTGGAGCCTAGTGCAATGCCATCTGGTTCGGGGCTTAGTGAGAGTCCTGGGCAAGGAGCTCAGGATTGCCGGCAAGTTCATCATCACCAAACCTTCCAGAATTTTCAGGATGATCGACAGATCCACCAAACTGTAAACCAGTATGTTGCTCCCCCATCATTGGAACCCTCTGTGATGGCCCGAGCGGCTGAAGCTGTAACGGGGGCTAGAACCGAAGCAGCGCATGCGATTTTGGAAGCAAGAGCCCACGTGCTAGAAAACAATGCGCAATTTCAATCCCAAGTCAACCAACTGAAGGCTGAGCTGACTGCCAGGGATGCTGCCTTAAGTCTGGCTGCTGAAAGAGAGAAGTTTTTGAACTCAAGGTTGGAAGAATGCATGACAGAAATAGATCGATTGAGGAGTGCCCTTGTGAGTCAACCAGGTCAAAATGCTGCGGGAGATTCGACAGTCCAGTTTGAACATAGGATCAAACTAATTGAAGAGGGATTGACATCATTGAAGAAAGTGTTTCTCACGTCTTGGAACTCTAGGTTTGAATCCTCAGAGCAAAACATTTCGAGGTTGAACTCTAGATTTGACAAACTTGTTGGAGACATTTTGGAGGACAGGGATATGTTTCAGAACCTTCATGCTGAAGTGCAAACCCTGAAGCAAGACTTTTGGTGGGAACAGAGTGTTGGTGAAACATCTCCTCAAAAAGGGGGGTTCCAGACGCCATACGGAACTACACCCAAAGGAGTTGAGGAGTTTCGTTTGTTCCATGATGCGGAAGGTTATGCAGAGGAGGTCAAAGATCAGGATCAAGCGTCCAACGCTCACAGTAAGGCCAGTGGAAGCGGAGATGATCTTGAATCTGCCATTCTACGTGTTAAGGATTTGCATTACTTCAAGGTACCTACCCTTCCTAGTGATGCAGGTGCCTTCAGGCAATGGAAGAACTCTTTGAGAACTCTACTGATGAGTTATGATCGCTCATCTGATGGATCCCTCATGCGATGGCTTTCCGAAACTATCAATGCCCGATCAGCAACGGAGAAACATGCTCTACAGTCGTCTTCTGGGGATTTTCCACGTTTTGACAGGGTCTTAGCGGCTGCACTATGTAAACCAGAGCATCTTAGATCTCACTTTGGTGTTCGGTTCAACTCATACTTGGAGGAGTGTGAATTGAATGGTCATGAGGTTCGGGGTCGGGTTATGTTGAACCTGGTTTATCGTGAGTTCGACACTGATCAAAACGCAGGTGCCATCATGACTGCGTTGGAACTGTACAACCTTCCCCCTCCGCAAGACAATGTCGCTTCCCTTCGACAATGGAGGGACAAGGTGAATTACGTACGCAACCAGATAGGTCCTGCTGATCGTCCAGAACCTAGACTCCTAGCCAAGTGGTTGTATGACCGTGTCAAGAAGCATCCACTTATGCGCAGGCATGTTGACAAGGTGCGCGACGCTCCTCCTGGGTCGGAATGTTTGACTTTCGATTGGTTATAGGGAAAGTTGGAGCAGTGTCTCCATGAGTCTCAGCAGGAAGCCAACGCGCTCAGCATTCAGGAGGCTCTGAGGAAAGGTCCTTCCAAAAAGCCCCATTCAGTTCAGGAATCGTCTGGGTTGCCTGCCTCTAAAGGTGGAAAGGATGGTAAAGGAAAGGGCAAACCAGGGAAAGGTGACGGAAAGGGCAAATCAAAGCAAACTTCAAAGCCGACCACGGCTAAAACCCCCGAGTTGACTGCAACACAGAAAGCTGAAATGCCTTGCATTTACTTTGCCCAAGGTAAGTGTTTCCGCGAGAAATGCCCGTTCAAACATGATCCCAATGCCAAATCAAAGCCTGCCCCCAAGACTACCAACCCCAAGCCCAAGCCTTCTCCCACCAGACCTGGTATGGTGGCTTTGTTGGCTGCTTCAATCACTGCTGCCACAGCTACCACTCTTCCGGCTCCATCTCACAACCATTTTTTGGAATTTGTTGGCGATACAGGTGCTGGGGAATGGCTGGGAAGTTCCAAGGCTTTGCGTCGTCAAGGCGTGCAGGCTGAGGAATTGGCCTCATGGTCGGGAACTTCTAGCTATCCCTTGCGGTTCACGACTGGGGGGGGACCCCCAACCTGCTACTACATCGGTTGGGCTTTGGTCGCAGGAATTTGATAGGATCAACAACATTTATTTGCTGGATGATTGTCCCTTGGTGCTTTCCATAGGTCACTTGGTTCAGACTGCCGGTTTCAGTTTTCATTGGGAGCCCTCACAGCTCCCTTGGCTCCAGAGGCCTGAACGAGAATGTGTTCAAGCTCATCGCATCGACCATCACGTGCCCATAGAAAACTTACCTCCCAATCATCTTCTGACCCACCTTCCGAAGAGTCATTTGTGTGACACGTGTCGTCGAGCCAAACTGTATGAGGCGCCTCACAGGCGTCGGGGAAACCAGCTTGAGGTTCTGAGACAGGCAAGAGAGGCTGAGGATCCGACGGCTCCTCTGGAGAGAATTGCAGTGGATTTTGTCATTGCAAGAGACTTGGTGGGGCAAACTGGGGATAAAGTTGCGTTGGTCCTAGTTGACAGGTTTTCGGGTTTGATTGGTGTTTTTCCATCCGATGAGCGGAGTGGGGAAGAAGCAATGAAGGGTCTTCAACATTTCTGTGGAACAAAGGCTCCTGGTATTGTTGAGGTATCATCAGATAGAGAGAGGGGCATCTTGAGAGCAGTTGAAGACTTAGGTTTTGTTTCGGACCCTTCGCCTCCCAATATGGATATCAAAAACCCCTATGCGGAATCAGCCATTCGAACTTTGAAAGGATCAGCATCATCGCTGTTGCTCCATGCTGGTATGGACCCGGATTTGTGGCCCCTAGCTGTAAAGTACTTTGAGTTCGCATACTCGGTCAACACGATATCACATGCTAGTATTGATCCTCCTGTTACTTGTTTTGAAGCTTTTCACGGGTACCCTTACGAAGGTTACTTGATACCGTTTGGGTCGTTGGTTTGGTTTCGGGAACCGGGTGGGAAAAGTTTTGAACCAAAGGGTCACCCTGCCTTGTATCTTGGAGCTGAGCTCATAAATGGAATGAAATACAAAGGAAACCATCGGGTTTGGCCGTTGGACTACTGCTTGAAAGGTGTTCTGAGGGAATATGTTGTAAGAATTCTTGCGTTTCCAAACGGAAAATGGCAGTTCCCACTGAAAGCACCGGAGTCGCCCAAAGAGTCGATTCACGTTCAAGAACTTCATCGTGGGAAGTCTGAACCTGGCACCAAAGGTGGCGAGTCCGCACCCAAGCCCAAAGACGATGACCTTGGCCCAAAGAAACGAAATAGAGCAATAACCATTTTGCGAATCGGAGTCCATGGTCGCACGCGTCATTGCTTAGGATGTAGCGAAGGGACATACTCACACACCAAAGAGTGTAGGGACCGATTCAACAAATTGATCGACTTATGTGAGCCATTAGGCAAGGACAAAGATCACCCGCCAACTGCAGATGGAAGGGAGACGTCCGGCAAAATGGCCTCAGCGTCACGTTCTTCAGAACCTGCGCATGGCGCGGTAAAGGGGGGCGAGGCATTGGAGGTGGGTGAGCTAAGTGATGGCGCGGAAAGCTGTGACTATGCGCCTACTTCACGAACAGCGTCACCACTTCCTTCATCAATAGGGGATCCTGATGACTTAGGTGACCCAAACGAACTTGAGCATGGCCACATGTTTGAAGGTACAGGGGCCATGATCGCTAGCGGTAAAAAGATATCAGATGTGATTCACACTTTTGAAAGGGGTTCAGATGTAGTTGCCTCCATCTTCTTTGATGCACTGGAGAAAGGGGGGGTGAACGAGGAGTCTCTTTCTGTGAAACTGGCAAAAGCCATGGCAGCCGCCCCTAAACCAAAGGTCAGGAGACAAAGAGCTGCAAACGCAACTTGTTGGTTTGTTGAGTTTTGCTGTTCAAAAGATAGCGCGCTCAAAGGAATCGCAAACGAACAAGGAATTTCGTACATAGGTCTTTCCAAAGATTTGTGCGATCTTTCGGATCCCAACGACATGAACCAAGTCATGATGTGGGCTCATGAAAGAAAAGACCTGGGGGATTCTATTCATTTATGGGGTTCCCTGCCATGCACCGCCTGGTGCTCGTGGCAACACTTGAACCGACGTGTCCTGGACGCTGGTTTTCAGGATGACTTAGTTAATAGGAGGCAGGAATCAAAATTGTTGGTCAGCAACTTCTCTTCTTTGACAGATGTCGCGCTTGAGAGCGGAGGTTCGAGCACGTTTGAGTGGCCTCGTTGGTGCTCAGGTTGGACTGAGGTAGAGGAACTGCAAGATATGATCACAAAGCACAGCATGATTTCTGCATATCCTTGTGGCTGCGCGTTTGACCTAACCATCCATGGAAAGAAACCTCTGAAACCATGGAGGCTTGTGACAACGAATGAACGCGTTGCCGTTGAAATGAACAACAAGGTTTGCAAACATCCCAAGGGGCACAAACACGACCGTCTTGAAGGGGGCAAACTTTCCTATTTGAGCGGGTTCTACAACCGCTCCATGGCCGTTTCAATTTTGTGTTCTCTCTTCCCTGAGAAGTTTTTGAAAAATGTTCCCGCAATGCCTACTGTAATCGCAGGAAACGATGAACATATGAACAAAAAGTGGGAAAGAATTGCGGAGCAGTTGAATTCCGGATCTTGTTTGCAACATGCCATGGGTCTTGTGCATTGGGTCCTGACAAGAAAAGAAATTCAAGATGATCCTGAAGCAATCAAAGCTATCGAGGAGGAAGCCTCAGAGGTCAGGGCAATGGGAGTCTGGGATGACTCGACCGCTTGCGAGGTTGATGAACTCAAGCAGTGGGCTAGAAAGGAGCAGCAGGAGATCCACATTGCTGAAGTGATGGCAATTGGATCAATAAAGAATGATGAGTTGGGACCATCGTTGAGCCAACGCAAGGGAAGGTTGGTTTTCCGAGGTGATGACACCCGAAACCAAGACGGTCTCCCAGCTAAGTTTCGAGAGTTGCATTCACAACCTGCTAGCATCCAGACAATTTCCATTGTAATGTTTTATGGCATGCTCACAAACTGTTGTGTCTTTATCGCAGACGCCAAAAAGGCCTATCTTCAGGCCCTCCTCCGCACCCCCATTCCTACATGGGTAATATTACCCCGAATGTGCTGGTTGCCAGAATGGAGCACACGATTTCGACGTGTCGCAGTGCGGCTCCGCCGCGCTTTATACGGTCATCCAGAGGCTGGTGATGACTGGTTCATCCATTTGTCCCAAATCATGACGAAGGATCTAGGTTTCGTGGCTGTGGAATCATTTCCATCGCTTTGGTGGAATGAGCAAACGCGAGTCCTCGTTGCAGCCTATGTAGACGACATTGTTTGCTCTGGAGGAGTTTCAGAGGTCCAGAATTTTTGGGAACGTTTGAAAAATAAGGTGGAGGTGGGGGGTGTAACAATCCCTGGAAGATTTCTCGGGAGATCACAGGATCACTGAAGATCAACATGGTAAGTGGTTGTTCCTGTCAATGCCCAACTATTGTCAACAATCTGTTGATTTGTACACTCATGCTTCTGGGTGTGCAGTTCTAAAGAAAGTATCAACACCATTTTTGAACGAGTCGGAGTTGAACGCCAATGATTGGGAAGTTTCAGGGGCTCTTGGCGACAAGTCAGCATCTGTCGTGATGAAAATGCTATGGCTTGCTCGGTTGAGCAGACCAGACGTATCCCATGCAGTGACGCGACTTGCATCAGGAATCACTAGATGGAGCATCAATCACGACAAAATGCTTTACCGCCTAGCTTGCTATCTAAATTCCACTATCGAGTATGGTGTTCATTGCTTTGCCAAAGGGAATCCTTCCACCATATCTCTTCACTTGTATACTGATGCAGATTTGGGAGGGGACATATGCACCATGAAGTCACACACAGGGATTTACCTTTGCGTTGAATGCCCGGACGGCACTTCCTTCCCAATCTCTTGGACGTCCAGACGGCAACAGTGCGTGTCGAAATCAACAACAGAGTCCGAACTTGTGGCGCTCAATGATGGTCTTTTCAACGACGCCATCCCAGTACAAACTGTTCTTAACATGGTTTTTGGTCGGGAAATCCCTGTTACAATCCACGAAGACAACCAGGCGTGCATACATATTTTGCGCGCAGGGTATAGTGCCCGATTGAAATCCTTAAATCGCACGCATAAACTGTCAATTGCCGCGCTCCATGAAACGATCATGGATCTCGGTTTCCAGCTGAGGTACACCGAGTCAGCTGATCAATTAGCTGATGTATTCACTAAGGTGCTTGCTAAGGTGAAATTCCTTGAGGCACTCGCCCGCCTTCACATCGGACTTCCCTAAACAGTTTCCTTTGTTCGAGGTTCGGGGTTTACCTGCGCATTGCGCGGTCCCTGTGCTAAGGACTGAGGACTCTCGCTCCTTTTTCCATGCTACCTTGCTGGGTCCTACTTGCTCTCCTTTGTTGATATTGCAATTGACTGGCATGTGGCATGGAGCTTGCGTCGGCCAGAGAGCCAGACCTGCGCATTGCGCGGCAAAAGTGAAGGTTGTCCATAAGTTGGTGGGTGGGCTGGGTCCTTGTAAAGAAACGACCCTTAATTCAGAATGTTTTGACTTTTGATTGGCATCTACCAACGTTTCTTACCCGGCTTGAAAGCCCTGAACTTGATTTTGTCCCTACGGAACCCTGGCTGGGGGGGTTCCACTGGGACAACGGTGATCTTCGTTTGCCTTGTCAAAGCCGGGGGGGGGACGTGAAACGTTTTGGGTTAAACCCTACATGTACAGTTCACCTACAGGGTAAAAAACCCATGACAAACTTATTTGGCTCAAGACATAAACAAGGTGTGTCTGCTGATTTATTGATTTCAAGTCACTGTTTGTATGTCCTGTCATTGTGCACTGGGAATTATTCTATTTTCATCCACGTATATTTTCTATTTCTTGACCCCCTTGGAATGTTTCCCTTGAAATGCTCTTTGTTTTTAAATCCCTCACCAGTCATGCAACAATATTATTGGTGCTTCCGTGCACGTCCTAATTCTTTGGAATTGAGGTTGAGGAGCTTGGCGGCCGCAAAGAGCTAAGTCTCTCTCCTCAGGCCATTTCATGGTTGAGTATGTTGTGCATATTTAGCGCTGGCAGCGTGGAAGTGAACCAGAGCCCATTGGTTTGCAAGGCTGCAGAACTATCCCATGCCCATTTTGTAGCACCGAAAGGCACCAGGTGCTTGTTTTCTCAGTTTTCCTGTTCTTGCTCGCGGGTGCATTAGACATCTGTCATGTTACTTGTTCGTGTGGGGCCTGACCTTGACTGAACGGGGCAGAAAACAACGAGAAACATGTGCTGAGTTTGAGCAGGCCGTGTCGGTGCCCAATCCTTTTGCCTGATCTTCCTACACTTGTACAGCACAGTTGGACCCGGTCCCTGCGCCACCAAATCGGCAGCGCTGGGATCAATCCAGATTGGCCGCTGACATGATGACATTCAGACGCTAGAAACATATATTTGGTGTTGATTGTTGGGTCTCTTGCTGCGCAGCGGCCGGCTCACGAGTGGAGCGTGCCCTCAACCTTTGGGCACAATAATGCACAGCATCCCACGCACATGTTTGGCAAGGGGATGACTGGCGATGCCAGTAATGTCAATCTGGTCCCACAAAGGCCTAAGGCCCGGTGAAAATGGTGACGTAGCATCTTCTGGCGCCCTGTGGTTTGTGGTGCCACATGCAGAGTGGACCTGTTTCCAGGTGCGGAAGAGGTTTGCGTATTGAATTGGCACAGGGCCACTTGCTTGTCAAAGCCACATATATAGGCGATAGGTGTGGATGAACCGTTCTTGCATGCACATGCAGCTGTGCTGGAGTATTGTTCCACCAAACCCGATCGAAGAACTGAGCGTTCACCTCAGAATTGTATAATGACATTTGCAGGTGTGTTCAACACGTCAGCTTGTGGGGTTCTAGCATTGCATGTTTCCAAGTCTTTCAAGCAAAGCCTGAGTGACCGACGGATGCCTTTTATGTATACAAACCATTTTGGTTCGAAAGGGAACAGTTCTTGCGATCTTGCGGAGTCATTTCGGTACACTTTGTGTCGGTGTTCCTACTATTCGGTTGCGCTTGCCCGACAGGAGAAGTTCAGGGGCAGTCGAAGCACACGGACTTTCACGTGGCTTCGTTTGGTGCTCCGCCATGCAGTTCTACAAAGGCCTAGTGCTGTTGTACAGCCCTGAAGCGCAGAAGCGCGAGATGCCACGCTGATTGAAACTTTTGCGCGTGGTAGCTCCCAAGCTCAAGGCGAACTGAATGCTACTAACCAGCCACGCCCATGGCCATCAACGCCGTGCCGAGTGGCTTTGGTTCATTGCTTGCATCGAAATCATGAGATCGGAAACAGGAACCACAACAAGACTGAGGTTCATGCACCGAGTCATGCTGCAAATGTTTTTGTGGGCTACGGTCACAGGGTTTGCGCTTTGGTTCCAGCAAGTCACATCAACTGAGTTGCAACTCGCATGGCTTCAATTCAGCACCTAAACACGATCTGTAAGTCACACATTTGTTTATTGAGCTGGCAACAGTTGCATTGGCCTCGGCCGCACCACATGCAATATGTTTTGAAAGGCTCACACCACGAAGATGACAGTCCACGATGCCCTCAATGTTTGGAAAACTGTGTAGAGCTTGTACTTGAAACATAGGCTCGGGGCCCTGTGAGTTTGGTTTTTGGAAGTGTCAAACTCATCATGGCAATCCATGTCACGTCGATTCTGGATCGATTCTTTCACTGTGGGAACTTGACTGAAGAAACCGTCGCATGGGGCCTACCAAGCGGCGTAAGCTGGAGCCGACGTACGTGGAGGCGACCGTTTTGCCGTTTTCTCTTTGTGGGGTTTTGGGTGCCAAATGCATGGTTAAAGGAGGGTGTCTTCCTGGTGGAGTCTGGTCTTGGGACTTCTGCATCGCCCGAACTGGGTGGCATTTTTTTGCAGAAGCTTCATAGCTTCATCTCGAGCCTGCAAGAGGAGCACCGGAAGCCTGATGAGGATGGGGAGATGGCAGATGTCAGATACTCACCGTGGTCAGCTGAACTGAATGAAACAGATGTTGTCACAACTGCAGGACGTTTGTTTTGGACACTGAAGATTGGAATCCAACCCATGGCCCAAACAAAGACGCCCACAGAAGGAGCCCCTGTGGGCTCCTTGCTTCGCGAAGGAGAAGCATCTCACAATGGCCATCACGCTGAAAGGGAGTGTCATCACCGAGGCCATTCTACGTGGCTTTAAGGTGGGGGGCACACTAGCGGTGGCCTCATGTGACGTTTTGTTTTGCAACTCAGTGAGTTGATCGATTCTCATTTCGAGATGATTTCATGGGTGACATGATATGTAATGCTCGACCCTTACGGAATGACATGGTTCCAGCCGGCTTCCAGCCGACTCGAGGACGTGGAGAACCGCTCTGTCAGATTACCAGTTGGATGGGTTGCCCTGCACACTGGAAAGGCATGGGCTGAAATCGAGTTTCTATGAATCTACCTCGGCAGTATGTTGCTGCTTTTGAAGGGCAAATGTGATGAGCTCCTGGCCAGGAGCTCAGGAAATGCATCTCATATGCTCTAATGTGATGATTCAATGCATATGATTCATATGTATTCAATGTATTCAGATATGTGTCACCTACAGTCCACCACCTGAGTCAAGACGTCGCTTGTTTCGGAGGATCGAATCATGAGACGCCTCGCGCCGGGACTGCCTCCGGACGCACAGTGCCCCAAAGGCTTTGTCGTCGGAGCTGCTTGGGTGGAGAAAGCGGCGGCTTGGACAGGTGAATCCTGTGAATCATGATGTTCCTAATAGCGTCCTTGCTCCTAGTAGTACGGCCAGGAGCCCCGTTCGTAGCGTCCTTGCTCCTAGTAGCGATGCCCTTTGCTCCTAGTAGCGTCCTTGCTCCTACCATGCGTTGCTTTAGTTTCGTGACTTTTCCTTGCCAACATCGGACCGTCGAGTAGTATATATAGTTGCTGGGCATTGTTGGAGGTTCGCAACTGTCACCAGGTGAGCCAAATCGCGTCAAAGCTAAGTGCCTAAGGTGACCTTTGATGAGCTGCGCGCCCACTTTGGTTGTAAAGAGGCCGGTTGTGCTAGTGGGGTTGGTTTGTTTCCTGCGGGTTGTCAGAGATACCAGGGCCCTAGGGCCCGCTGAACAACTGCCTAGGAATGCAACGGTCCAACGGCGGGCGACTTGCGACATGCGCCTCACTGCAGGTTCAGCCTCTTGGCGTGGTTCTTTCAGCATGTTGGAACTAGTAGCGGAACTGTAGTGTCCGCGTCCGCGGCCTTTTCAACTTTGGTGTTGTTGAAGGGTGTTCAAGATGGCTCTCTGAGTTCTTGAGACGCGTGTCTTCCTTTCCTGATAGTTTGCATTGTTTTGCCGGCTCCCATCCTAGGCCCACACGCGGGCGGACCCATTTGCAACATTTTGAGCGCCTCGGTGCGTTTGCCCACGCCGGTGCCCTGCAATGGGGAGCTGGGCTGTTGGCGATTGCCAGAGGAGGTGCGGAAGAAAGTCCTGAAGCAGATGGAGGATCTCCCAGTGTATCACTTCCATGAGGCGCGTGGCCTTCCGCCAGTAGTTGGATCTATATAGTAAGTAAGTAGAAGAGATCTTGCTTCAAGGTTCTTGGATGTGGGTGGAGGATAAGTGAAATGTTCCAAGATGTCTCATGACTCCTTTACTTAACATTTTTGTTTGAACCAATTGGCACATAGATTTGATCAGAAGAATTTGTGAAGAAGACTGGCCAGGAAAGACCACGTGGCTGGCCACTCCCCTGGGCGCCCGAGTTGAAGCGCAGCGATGTGTACTGGCATCGTGCCTTAGAGGAACGATGCCGTTTTCGCGAGCGCAGATGGTGAAGTTGGCCAAGGTGACATGGTGCCGGAGAGGAGTAAAGCGAAGTCAAAGACGCCGGCCATAGCCTCAGTGTGGGAATGGGCACTCAGCAAGGTTGGAAGGAAGCGAGCAAGATGTAACGAGAACAGGAAGCCTTTTCCCAGGTGAGGAAAGAAGAATCCCTATATCGTTTTTTCCAAACTACGGAAGGCCATTTGACATCATTTGACCATGTTCTTTGAAGAGCTAGCAACTAGTGCTCCACTGTGCAGATATGGCGTACGGAAAATTATGGGAGCGCTTGTTTGTTTGACACATGGCATTCTTGTGCTACCAGGATCATCGTTTCAAACAGCATCCTTTTTCAGAGAGATTTCTTGCCCGTTTCAGGCGCCAACCAGATGCTTGGCAGAAGAGTTTTGGCCGAACGTCGCCGTGCACTGCGTAACCTCGCGAAAGAGCTCAGGAGTTCCACTTCAACCACCCGAAACCTGGCCGCCACTGGTGAAGCGAGGTCCTCGAGCTCAACAGGCTGGTTGACGGGCACGGAAGGACAGGCCCGAAGCGCTGTGGAGCTGATGAGATTTTTTCATATTCCCGCGAGCGCCTGAGCGAATTGTTCTTCCCATTCTCTCTCTTTTCTATCTTGAAATTGTTTGATATTTATTGAATTCATTGTTTCTCCGCCAGGACTCGTAGCGCCGCTCATTGACCTTGACTCCGATGAGGATCATGACGTGATTGCTGTGTCTGAGAGGTAAGGAAACCGTTCAGGACTTACGTGCAAACATATAAGTATTTGAGTCCACATGATGATGGCAAGTACCCTGCATGCTAGCGATGCTGCGGGGAAACCAAGGTTGGTGTTTTGTACCCAGCGCTGCTGGTGGTGTCTAGCCTTTGCCGTATCTGCAATACCTGGACCGAGACCGCAAAGCAGAAGCGCCACAGCATTTGGAAGCTGTACTTTAGTCACTCAAGCCGACCTGGTTGATATTGTCACTTTCTCAGCTCAGGACAGGATGCTACTCCACAAGCTTTTCGCCTGGCAGCTGCTGGTTGTCGCGACACAGACCGTTTGGAAGGGATTTGAGGAACCCAACACGGGTCTTTACTACCCGGTTTGTTCACCATAGACCAAGAAAGAGTCGACATCGCCTTCAGCTGGTCGGCGTAGTGTTTTTCTATTACGAAAGCTAGGCTGAAGGTCTGAATAGCGAACGCGGTGAGTATTTGGGGGGGGGGGGGGGGGGGGGGGCGTTGCAAAATGAGTGGTTTTGGAAGGCCAAAAATCAGAATTTAGTGGGGAACACCGGCAAAAAGTGGGGTGGACGCGATTTGAGCAAAATTGTAAGTTTTGAGGAGGCTGTTGATGCAAGTGATGCAATCAAACGGGGGCTGTCATGATGTAAATGATGCAATGGCATGGGTGAAGAAGAGGGAAATATATATAAGGAAAGACGAAATAAGGAAGAAGGAACAAGCAAGAAGAAGAAGAAGAAGGGCAAAAGAACGAAGAAGAAGGAAAGGAGGAAGAAGAAGGGTCAGGAAACTTCCGGCACTGGAATTGACGCGTTGTGATTGTTCGCTGCTTATTCGCAACTTTTTATTACCTTTAGCTTTAAAGGAGGAAGAAGGAATAAGCAAGAAGAAGAACAAGAGAAAGAAAGAGACAGGAACTGGAATTGACACGTCGTGATTGCTTTGGGCGGACAGGTAACTTTGAACAGGCTGTTCGGCCAACGAGTTCAGGGGTGCAGCCTCGTCAAACTCATGCATCCGTAGTGCAAGCCGGTCGCTGCTGAGCGAAGTCAATCACACTGGGACAGAGCGGTAATGCCATGCCTCGACCAAGATGTTCGTTCATCATGAGTGGAGGGTTTGTTCTACGTAGTGTTGCTGATGCGTCCTTTCCACGGTGTTCTTATGACATGCCTGACCCAAAACCCGGCCGAAGACATAAGAACGCCGGGTAAGCTGTGCCTTTTTTGACGTTTTCTGGGGCGTCCGCTCTGGGTGGTGCAGCTGATGTGTCCTTGCCGCGGTGTTCTTATGACATGCCTGACCTAAAACCCAAGCGAACGCATAAGAGTTGCAGATGCTTTCAGAGCTTCATTTCACCCCGGGAGGAGACACCTTTTTGGGTGCGTGTTCATGCAAGCGGCAAATGAGAGCCAATTCCATACCTTCGTGTCATCGCATTTGCTCGTGGTGTGACAAAGCAACGTCGCACAGCTTCTTGCGAGTTGACACCGTTTACGTCCACTTACTCCCGATCCACAAGTGAGGCTAAAGCGGCTAAAGTCATGAGTTGGGGTCGAACATATTGGTCTCAACTCAACCTTGTGTGTTCAATACGTATATACATGCCCGGGCCCCTGTCCTCCGCATGTGCCAAAACCTAGCTGTTGTTGAATCCCCAGACTAGGCAAGTCCAGTTTGCGATCGCAAGGTCCTTTGTGTTTTTCCAATGGGCGCATCAATTGTCTATCTAGTATAATATTCTACATAAGTTAAGTGTATATGTCAGAGCATATTCTTCTCTTATCTACTGCTGGGTTGAACTCTCAGAGCGCTTGCCTTCCTGGTGAGTGCGACGCCAGATTGGAGGTGCCAGCGTTTTTGCTTCCCCGCGGCTTCAGACATGCAGAACACGCAGAGTCATTTTGTGTTATGGTCAGCTGTTAACTGCATCTCTGGTTAAGACCGGCCTTGCATGTCAAGCACTTTGAAGAGGTCATGAGCAACATGGCCAGCTTGTGTCAGTTGACACCAGCAGAAGTGCTAGGGCGCTCGGGAATGTCCGGAAGCGAGTGAAAATGCGATGAAGCAAGAGGAAGGAAGAAGGAAGAACAAGAAGAAGGAAGAGGAAGGAAGAGGAAGAAAGAAGAAGAAGGAAGAAGAAGAAAAAGAAGAAGGAATAAGAAGGAAGAGGAAGAAAGAAAGAGGAAGAAGGAGGAAGAAAAATAATGAGAAGACGGAAAAAGAAGGAAGGAGGAGGAAGAAGGAAGGAGGAAGAAGAAGAAGAAAGCAGGACGATTTAAAAGTAAAGAAGAAACAAGGAGGAAGAAGAACGAAGAAAGAAGAAGAAAAAAACAACAAGAAAGAAGACGGATGCAGGAAAGTCCCGTTAACATACGCGGGGGGGGAGGCTGGCTTTCGTCCCCTCCCTTCTCAGGTGATGTATCTCCCCGGATGTTTATTGATGTTTGTTGTGCCGTGCTCTTTTTTTTTCTATGTGTGTGTGGAACTTATTGAAGACAACCACTGCACCGGCAAAGGTGAATGCTAGATCAAAGGGAATGGCGTTGATCCTTGTCGTCGGAAAAAATAGCATCATGCGCGCTGCGCGCCGGCTCGCCGCGCGACGCTTGCAATGCATTTTCGGCTTCCTTTTGTGAGAGTGATGAATTGCTGCAAGGCTCCTGCAGTATTGCTCTAGATTTCCAACATGTCACACCAATGAGTTGCCGTGGTTGTTCACGCTCTAGCAGGACACCCTCGCCGTTCAACCTGTAACAGTGCGCAGCGTGACTCAGGCGCCTGGGACGTCCATGATGCCCCTAGTAGCGTCCTTGCTCCTAGTAGTGCGGCCAGGAGCCCCTAGTAGCTTCTTGTTCTTAGTTGCAAAGATGATTCACAGATGTCGTCGTTTGGGACGACCGTTAGACCTGCATCACATCGGCAGGTGGATCCTGTCGACCAGATGGATCTGTGACGGCGGCACTCCCACCCGCTTTGAGTCGGTGCGGGGCTCAAAGCATGCGCATCTCAAACATTCAATTGGACATGATGCAGTTCCATGCCGAGCCCTGAAATCAGAGAATACATCTCAAGCTTTCATGGACTCAGTGCCACTTTGGCACTCCAACAGCATTTGGGGCATGAATTCTGATGGATTGAGGCGAGATTGGTTGGCCGAATCGCGGCCTATTGAACGGCCTATTTCTGTCAGCTGATCCTTGGCCAACACAAACGCGGTGGAAGACTGGTCGTTGCACTTGGGGGTGTAAAATTCATCCTTGGCTCGTGGGGGGAGAGCGATGTCAAAAGCCTTCGGCTTCACGGCTTCTCTTGATCCAAGAGCGTTGAAACTCGTTGGCTTGTGGAGATGAATTGTTCACATCAGCTGGTCAGGGTTTGAAACCCTGACCAGCTGAAACTATCCTTGCAGGATGAGCCTTGCAGTTGGGGGTTTGCGTACTCGTTGATGGCCTCAGCCGAAATGGCCAAGGATCAGTTCCCAACTGCACCCCAGCCAGGCTTCAGCAGTGAACATTTTTGTAGGCAACCTGTTGGGCGAGCGCATTGCGCGCAAAGTCGTGCAGCGGCGGCGGTCTTTAAAACAACTTTGTGCTACAGAGACCCGTGTAGAATCAGTTGGATGGGCTCCATGATTAGCACCATGGACAACGATAAGAAGTGGTGATCGCTTGCTCCGCTGCGGTGTGCCAGCTCAATTCGAAACAACAGGAAGGCTGTGTACAAGTTAACATCGTCGAGATCCTCGCATTTTCTACGGCCCATTTGATTTCACGAGACTTCAACCTGCTGAGCATCTCTTGCTTCCGTGAAAACTCTCCAGCCAGTCATGCCTCAAAATTATTGAACCCCAAGCTCAGACATGACTTCACCGTGCGAAGTGCATTTGCAGACAGCAAGCAGCAAGTGTTCAACATTTTTCCTTCCCAGCCAACTTGGTCTCCTGTGAGACCTTTTGAACCAGAACATCTAGAGCAACTTTGCCCATACTGCATGTCTACCCAACACACTGACACACTCAACACGCCGCTTTTACTTGCTTGACTCATTTGTACCAACACCCCGAGCGCCGCAGCGGTCGCCATCCCCCCGTCAGCATGGCGGATGATGACGTTCGCTGCATGGCGCAGCTGAGTGACCTGCCGAGGTCAGGGATTGCCGCATTGCCCTTTTCTGGCGAGAAAATGCATCCATATACACATACAGTATATACTGTATATATACACCAATCTATACACCTATACAATTATATATGAGCACTTCTTTTTTTAATCCCATTGATGCGGTGCACACAAATATGTATACCATCTACTATCCACATACTATTGTGTTTTCTTGTTGAAATCACATTGTGTCTATTTAATGTTGACCTGTGCACTGCGCGCACACACACGCATCATATATCATACCCACCTATAGCATAGTATAACTACACACGCTTCGACATAGTACATTGTTTGCGTATGGACGTATACACCTTAGAACATTTGCAGGCATGTATGTACATGTGTGAGAGTCCTTTTGATCGATGATGGCATTATAACTTCCGCATTCCCTGCAAGCTCTTGATTGGTTATTATTTCTTGGGCACATGCGGAGATGCTTGTTTTGATCATTGGTGAAGTGTGGGGTGGCAATCACTGGCGGTTGTGAGGGTGGCATTCTGCAGAACCCACCACTGTCATGGATGAGGGAGGGGCAAATTGCCGAGAGAGGAGGGTCAGTTGATCAGTAGATTCATTCTTTTTCTCCTTGGCTAGGTCCGGTTCATTCAGGGACAATGATTTCAAGCAACTGTCTAGTTTGCAGCACGGGGGCAAGACTGCCGGCAGGTATTTGCCTCCTGAAATTGCTCAGCAAGAAACAGAAGAAGCGGAAGCACGAGAGCCATTGATTCTCAAGCTTTTGAGCAGCAGCTTGACTGAACCCATTCCATCAATGATGCGCTAGTGAGCTAGTGCTACTGTCCTCCTTGTTGCTGCGTCCGTGTTTGGGGGGTTCACTGGGGAATGGCTAATGGCTCCAAGACGGCAAAATGTGAATATGCAGGTGTAAGCCCCGGTTCTTTACATTGCAGTGCAGTCTATTTATGCGAGGCATGCTGCAAGTACAGCACCACCAAACAGAGGACCATCAGAAAGGCGTAACAAACCAGAAACTATATATAGCTTCTACTTCACTTGAATTTCTGGGCACTTGTTCGACGTTTCACAAGAACCCCAAGTATTCCCAAGCAAGTCCACTCCGCCACCAGGTGATCCGGCTCCGCCCCCTGCGTCGGAGCTGGCCTTCGGCTTGAGATGCCTCAAGAACATGGAGGAGCAGAAGACACCCACAGGCCATGGCACCTTTCCTTGGCCACCTCCAGCCCCAGTGGTACCTTTGAGGTCATACGAGCCCCCTCCTTGTGCAGGTGCGGAAGGTTCCCATTGGCACCCCCAAAACATCACCAGAACTCGTTGCACGCTAGACTTGTGTGGGACCCCGGTCCGCATGTTGTGGACAGGCTTGGACTTCAAGATCTCTGTGTGCTCATCTCTTTGGACCTTGTTCCTGGCCAGTGTGGACTCCAAAGCGCCGCTCTATGGCTATGCCAATCGCACCAAGATCCTGGACAACCTTCGGTCCTGGTTGTGTCTCTTAGACGTGGATCATCACCGGCCGTTCTGGCGGGAAGCCATCAGTCAAGAGGAGAGGGATGGGGCTGAGCCCATCGCTCAGCTCTTTGCCCAGTTGGACGTTCGTGTGGTGCTGCGTTTGTTGATTGAAGAAGTGAGGAGGAGTCCTAGAATGGACTGCTCCATTAACAAGTCCAAGAGACGGAGTCCTGGATGATTAACATTGGCGTTTTTGTTTTTCCGGATGTTTTCTTTTCCCGATGTTTCTTAACGCATGTTTTTCCGGATATGGACGGGTGAGCTGCGGCCGAGACCCATGGTTTGTGTGGCGGACCCTTCGAGAAGGGCGACGCCAGCCGACTTCGGTGAAACCCTTGCACCAACAACGCCCCTCTTTGGAGTAGAGAGGACATCCCTTATATTTCTTGGCGGCTATGTTGCTATGTTCGAGAAAGTGCGCAAAGGTTTTTCATGTGAACACCTTCCATGGCTGTAACTGGTTTCCATGTTCCATTGGAGGGCGGAGAAGGAAAAAAAGGAACAACAACACACACATACACACAGACACATCTTCATGGGCCAGGAACTACGTGCATCATTTGGCCAATCTTTGTGTTGCGTTCAGCCACTTGAATGGTTCCATCTCCGTGTCGCAGGGTGCGGAGTTGATGGAGCAGTTAGCAGCTCAGGCGGGGCGGATTTGTCAACAAGACGCGCCAGGGTTTCGTCCCAAGCATTCGGGACGGCATGCCAACCACTGCGAGGCAAAGAAAAAAGTGCATTGACCGGATTTCTGCAGCGAACACAGATCGGGTGATCAACCAACAACAATGGGGATTTGACTAACCAGGGCCTTAGGGCTTCGACCCGGAGTAACCGCATTGGAGTAACATGGGGGTTCTGTGGGATTCGGCCCGCAGCATGGCCATCCCATGCGCCCTGAGTCAATCAACAATGGCCCCATTGAAGTCACTGACCCGTGAGTTCACTCCGGGTGTTAGCTGGACCCTGCAGTGTGAGAGAGAGAGAGAGGTGGATGGAGTGCACGTTTATTCGCTCTTCTATGCCAAGATGTTGGCCCTGCTCACGCCGCGGAAGTTGATTCCCCAGCTGCTCTTGGACGGTCGCTTGTGGTTGTGGTGGTCACGAATTTCTGAAGGAGTCCTGACCATGTTTGAAGGAGTCCTGATGTTTTTTTTGGCCAGCGGCCATCTATGGATGTCGACCATGATATCCGTCTTCAGGGTAAATGAGAATGCGTCTCATGGCATTCTCCAGGTCCTTCAGAATGCCAATCCAAGGATTGCTTCCCAAATTTGATTTGATGTGGTTCATGCCCCTGGCGCGCTTGGCGGAGCTGAGATGGGCCAATAAAGTGGAGGAGGCGCTGGCTGAAACCAAGATGTCAGGGAAGGCGGAGGAGTGGCTCAGACTGAAGTTGGCAGACTTGGATTGAGAGTGTCCCATAGGTTTGCTCGAAAGCAGGAGGGTACACCCCAACATGGCCATTGAAATTAGGAGTGATCAACCACCAGTCAAAAGGGGCCATAAAGGATATGAAACTTACCGAACAAACACCAACTTGTGATTGGCTCGATCTCTATGTTTGTGGGGGTGGACCTCATCCTATATAGAGGTCGTTCTTCAAGTGCAATATATAGAGGTCGACTCGTATGGTCGACTCCTTCAGTCTTCGACGCGTCGACTCAGCACATCAGGTGTTGGAAAAATGTGGAGGAACAGCTCCCCTGGCTGATGAATAAAATCTGTCGCACTCTCTGCTTGCCCTTCGGCTCACCCGCCGCAAAGGCCTTGGATGGAAAGGAGCAGTCCTTCCCCGATGTTGACCGCTATCTAATTCCGGAGGAGATTGACACGGTTCTGATGGGAAGCCAGTCTGCTTGGAAAGATGTGGCTTTCTTTCTGATCTATACCTTGGAGCCTGAACCTCCGAGCGCCAAGGATGGTGCCCCGTCCATGTGGAATTTCTTGACCTTGCTGCAGCGACGAATGAGGCCCTTCCTCACACCTGCGACCTGTCAGGGTGAGTGGCTCTGGCACTGTGTCACTTTGCTTCACAATCTGATTTCTTTGTACTTCAGACGAATCTGCAAGGAGAGGATGTTGCCTTGCACCACTTTGCCACACATGCTCCTGTCTGAGAATGCAGATCGCGCCTTCGTTGAACTCATCATGCCCTTGGTGCGCGACCTGATGATGGTCCGTGGCCCCTACGAAATGGCCACCTCCATGGAAAACATCGCACGGCTCACGCAGATCTCGGCTATGCATGCCACCAGCCCACCAGTGGGGTCAGAAGTGGACCCCTTCAAGACAGACTTCCAGTCCATGGTGATGCAATCCACTGACCTGCTGAATGATCCCACCCAATCAGCTAGGCATGTGTCCTTGCTGAGGGTTTTCTCTTCAGTGGTGCCCGCCTTGAGCCTTCAGATGCCCTCAGTAATCGGTGAGTTGTTGCCCTTGGTCCTGCAGGGGATTGATGCAACGGATACGCCCAAGACCATGAGTTCCCTGAGGTTGCTCCTCTGTTTGCTGATCAACTTGCCCTGCTTGGATTCCAATGATTGGCAACTGGGAGACCATCCGTCGCAGGAAAGCAGACTACGGTGGCCACTGCCAAAGGAGTGCAAGCTGAAAGTTGGAGATCCGGATTGCAGTGCCACAGGTTCGGGGGCCTGGGTACGATGTAGGGCCATGTCATTTGAGGATATCCCGTAAGTCTGTCGTTTGACGTCACACCCCCAAGGTCTGGTCATGTCTCCAAGTTTGTGGTCTTCATCCCCAAGTTCTAGTTAACCCCGTTTGTAGCCAGCTTCCTGGCCCTTTCAGATCTGCACCCCCAAAGGCCTCGTGTCGTCCATGCTGCCCCCCTTTGCCATTGAGCTGGTGGAGCGCGCCTGCGACTACGTCACACGCATCCCCAAGCCACGGGCGGTGAAGAGTGGGAAGATCTCCTTGGAGTTGCCTGGCCCTCACTTGTGAAAAATAGGGGGTTACATATTCGGGTCGCTTCACGATGACACCCGCCCGCACCAGTGTCTCTCAGAGAGCGGGGTAAAAACTGTATATATATATATATATCTCTCTCTCTATAGTCATTCTATATTTGGAACTATAGTCCAGCATGCGTGATATGTCAAAACCACGTGTTGTTTCCTCCCCGACACACCTCATGATGCAGGATGCGCATTTTTGTTCCATATATGATGGGAGTTGATCTAAAACCCCGTGTATGGAGTTTTATATAAAACAGCCTTTCAGATGTTGTTAAAACCATCCGCGAAAGATTCGCGATTCGCGAAAGTATCTTTCTTTTCTGCGAAAGATTTATCGAAGGTCATGGCTTTCATATGTTTTCCTTTCCACCGACTCGCCACCGACTAACAAAGCATAGAAATACAAGGCAATCCTCCCGCAGAGCCGGTGGGCGGAAGTGTCCCTGCGTGTCCCCATTGTCACAGACTAAAGAAACTGAAGCCTCAACATTTCCGTGCTCCGATTCCTGTCCCCACTGTTACAGACCAGCAACCTGAGTAGGCACAGCCCTGACAGTGAGGCAACGACCTGCAGCTGCTCTGACGGGCCGTGCAGATGTTTGCAAAATGATATGGCTTCCCCGGGAAAGCACCAATGAAATTTCGTGAAAGATCCATTGCGACCGCATAGGGGGCCACGCTAAATCTCCGGACGCAGTTGAGCCAGTTGAGCTCAACTGGGTCAACCGGGTCAACTGGGTCCGGAGATTTAGCGTGGCCACCGGGTCAACTGGGTCCACTGCGACTACCACCACAACGACGACGACTACTACTTGAACTACAACAACAACAACTACGACGACGCCGACGCCGACGCCGACGCCGACGCCGACGACGACGACCACCACTACTACTACTACTACTACCGCTACTACTACGACTACGACGACGACGACTACTACTACTACTACGACGACGACGACTACTACTACTACTACCCTCGTGTTGATCTGGATTTTTACCGCTCAGATTGCCTTATTTTACAGCTAGGTACTAGTAGCAGTTTAGAAAGCGTTGGTACTTAGGCCTCAGGAGACGCAGTTGACCCACTTCCTCCAGCCGACCTGATGGTCCCGTTGACTCACTTGAACCCAGTGGACCCAAGTTGACCCTTGAGCAGTAGTGGTAGTGGTGATAGTAGTGGTAGTGGACCCAGTTGAACTGAGGGTTAGTTGGCCCACTTGACCCCAGTTGACCCAGTTGATTCAGTTGACCCCAGTTGACCCAAGTAGTAGTAGTAGTAGTAGTAGTAGTCGTAGTAGTAGTAGTAGTAGTAGTGGTAGTGGTACTGGTAGTGGTAGTGGTAGTGGTAGTGGTAGGAGTAGTAGTAGAGTGGTAGGAGTAGTAGTAGTAGTAGTAGTAGTAGTAGTACTAGTAGTAGTAGTAGTAGTAGTAGTAGTAGTAGTAGTAGTAGTAGTAGTGGTAGTGGTAGTGGTAGTGGTAGTGGCAGTGGTAGTGGTAGTGGTAGGAGTAGTAGTGGTAGTAGTAGTAGTAGAAGTAGTAGTCGTCGTCGTAGTCGTAGTCGTAGTCGTAGTCGTAGTCGTCGTAGTCGTCGTCGTCGTCGTAGTAGTAGTAGTAGTCGTAGTAGTAGTAGTAGTGGCGGTGGTAGTAGTGGCGGTGGTAGTAGTAGTCGTAGTCGTAGTAGTGGTAGTGGTAGTAGTAGTGGTAGTAGTAGTAGTGGTGGTGGTAGTAGTAGAAGTAGTAGTCGTCGTCGT